TGTGGTTTGGGTCTTGGACCTGGCATCTTGGAAAATCACGCAGGGCACACATGTGCCTCCCGAGAGAGTGGAGAAGGGGCTGTGGTACAGCCATTCCCACTGGGAGGCAACTTCTCACTTCCCCTGTTTCTGTCTCATTCCAGTTGTGTGCACTCTAAGGCAAAGACCTAAAGAAAATGAAAAGAAGTTGTGCCAGGGAGATGCCAGCTACCTGTACCCTCTAGCATTACCACCCTCTCTGGCAGAACAGGCTCTGTGCTCTGAAGGCCGTGCAGTCATTCATAAAGTGAGGCTCAAAGGGGTCCTGAGACGTGCTTCCTACACAGAAATGCAGCCCACCAAAGCCACTCAGCCTTACGAGGTGGCAGACAAGATTATACTGTCCTACAGCTCTCCAAAAAAAAAAAAAACAAAAAACCACCAAATTTGTTTCTTGTCATTTCAATCACATATTAGAAATCAGGCACTTTATTTTTCAACAATTAAAAAAGATTATTTAACTTTCTTTTTCAATTTGACCAGAGAGGGACAGAGTGAGAGTGAGAGAATGAGAGAGAGAAAGTGAGAAAGCAAGCTGCCAGGTCCAGGACTCGAACCATGGTCGGCCACGTGGAAGTCCAGCACCCTCAGCCACCATGCTACCTGCCAGCGCCAGGCAGTTTAGTTAATAGAAATTACCATGGTGCAGGTCGACGAGGACACAGTGTTTTATGTTCCAGGCTTCTATAAGGCAATGACTGTTGATTCAGAAAATGGTAAAGAACCTCCAACCATCTAAACACAGGTCTATAACCCCAAACTAGCAATCCTGAGAGCCAAAGGGCTCTGAAAACTACGTAATACCAAAATGCACGGGCGGCAAAACCTGACCTAAAAGCTTTACTCACCTCACTCAGTAAAGAAGCTTAGCTGCAGAGCTGCTAGTGTTTGAGCAGAGCACTATTTCCAGCCCCTCTGAAGACGGCACGTCACAGACAGTTCATGCACTCCCATCACCCCTCTCAAATCCCAAAACTTCTGCACTGTGAAACACACCTACCACTGGAGGTTTTGAAAAAGGACTGTGAGCTCTTACCAGGTCCTGCATCTATAGACTTGATCTGTTTGCCGTTTTCCAAGTCCCAGAGCCGGATGTGAGCGTCGAGAGAACTGGACGCGGCTATGGGCAGGGTGTGGCTGATGTCCACAGACACCACCCCCAGCTGATGTCCCTCCAGACTCCACTGCAGGTCCAGCCTCTCGTCACACCTTCAAGGTAGGACAGAGAAATGGAGCTCGTTACACACAACACACAGTACCTGCGGCTGGGACTCTGGGTCCGGGAGTGCGCGCTACCAGGAATGCACGGAACATGGAGCCCAGAGGGGACCTGAAGGGCCATAGGACACTGGATACAGCCAGGCTTCACCTTTAGGACTTCTGATTATTTATTTTACTCTAGGGCTTTAGTACCAGATAAGGAGGAAACGAGAGACAAAAAATGAGCTGCTGTTTACATTATCATATTGGCATTTTCCCGTCTAGAAAAAAAATGACTATTTCTGTGATTACAACTTGGAAGTCCAGCAGCAAGACCTTAGCTGCCTTTTTGCCAAGGCTGTATGTCAAGGAGGAGGCACTCACCATTTCCAGACCTTCACCAGGTCGTCCAGGGAGCCTGTGACCACCGTCTCAGAGTTCTCCTTCTTGTTTGTCCCCCAGGCGACGGACCAGATGGCATCGTCGTGGGCTAGAAGGGAAGTGCTTCGTTTATAAAGTCTTTGTGCATGCGAATTCTAAATATGATGTGGTAAAATGAGGCTGAAATACTGTTCTGCGACTCTGAAGTAACATGTACTTCTATCTTTTATAAAGTGCATTAAGTGCATTGTTTTATAAAGTGCTTTTCTATAACAGCTCTCATGGCATTTGTGGGGGCATGTATGAAAACTGGAGGTCCCGGGCTGGGTGTCCCCCGTGCGGTGTGGTCATCCCTCCCTGGACGTTGTTAGTTTTTAAGCATACTTGGTCTCGACTTCCTCTGCCCTGATCCTTCACACTTGGGAACTTCATGCTTGGACAGCATGACACATTTTTTTTTTTTTCTTTTTTCGAATTTGCTGTAGGGTGTGTGTGCTCACTGCAGAGGGACAGGAAGTGAGAAAGCATCCCCAAGGAGGGATGACCACACCGCAATCCCTTCTCCATTCTCCTCCGAGGATTTTGGGGCACACATACATGCTCACATATCCAGTGTGTTTTTCAAGTCACTGGGTCTGGGACTTGAACCGCACCATCGGCCACACAGGATCTAGCTACTCTAACCACCAGACCATCTGGCTGGCCCCCAAAATCTTAAAAGACACCAGGGACAACAGTTTTCACATATGAATTTGCTTCAGGCAAGCAAGCAGGCTACTTACCTTGTTCTTGTTTGAAGAGAATACTGTACTGAAAAAAAAAAAAAAAAGACAAAAAAGAAGCCCCATTAATCTGAAGGTCAGATTTTATATACCCACAATCCCTCCCTGAAACTCTCCCCTGCAAGTACTACAGATACAACAGTCACCTCAGTGTTAGTACTTCTGCTGCTGCAGCCCTAAGCACTCTGCAAACACCCTGATCACTGCTCAGGCAAGATCTGCATAATCCTTCCAGGAAAAGTTATTAAAAATTCTTAAAGAAAAGGATGCTCTCCCTTCTCCTACTATAGCCCCCATTGCCTAACCAAAGACTAACAAGTTGAATTTTCCTTCTCTGTTCCAACCACCAGGAAGCTCAGGGTCCAGTTTGCAGCTCAATGTTTGCAGCTGTAGCCCTCACAGCCTGCATAACAACCTGCTAACTTGTCCCTGCTCTCATGATAAAGGCATGTTCTTCCTGCCCCATCTCCTCTCCTGATCTCTGGGGGGGTTTTGTGTACAAATTCATTAGACTTATTTATTTATTTATTTATTGTCATAGGGCATGTGTGCTCACTGGAGAGACAGAGAGAGAGAGAGAGAGACAGAAAGCCAGAAAGTGAAAAATCACCCCCGGGGGTTAACGGCCATGCCACAATCCCGTCTCCTCCAGTCTCCTTTTGGGATTTTGGGCACGCACGTACACACATCCTCTGTGATCCATGGTCAACTATGGGGGAGTCCAGCAACGTAAGCATTACGCCATCTGCCGGTTCCTATGTACAAACTCTTTGAAGCTTCCTCAATCCTCCCGAAAACGTGCTAAGGACTTAAACAAATACTCCTGTCAGTGTTACCCATTTCACTAAAGCCACCTAACTGTGATGCCTAGGTTTCCAGAACCACCCAGCTCTTCGGGGGCAGCACAAGAGTTTCAGGCTAGCTTCCTGACTACATGGCCATTCCACTGGGCTTGAACTTGCCCAAGAGACCAGCTAATGCTCCCCCCCCCCCCCCCCAGCCCTTACCTGCTGT